TGAAAACATTTTTCTTTTGTCCCTCAAACTACTCTTAAATTTGTTGATGTATGATCGAAACATCTTCGGATCTTCTTCGGTCGTCTTCGGCAATCTTCGGTAATCTTCGCAAAATGTTCGGAAGCGTTCGTCTGGCCTTCGGAACAATTTTGGAAAATCTCCGGAAATCTTCGGAAAAACGTCATTCATTCGTCGTGTTCAACTCAAGCTCAACTCAACTCAATATCGAGTTGAACATTCGAAGATAAAATTCGTATCCACGCGCGGGCATGTAATATCCTATAAATATTTTACCTTCGAATGTCGCAACTGTGTAGATATGCTCAGTACGCCTATCGGTCTAAAAACTTGCTCAGGTTAAATATGCAATGTTTGCGTTCAATTCCAAAGGAAATTACGAAAAATAAGCCATTGCGGTTCACATTCTCCAAAATACGCAGAACTTGGTCATTTCACGTTGTTGTTCTGCAAATGACAGGTAAGAAATGTACCAAGATTCAAAACGCACACGTGTGCAGAACCATTGTTTTGCTCATTGAACCTTTTGTCGGTGACGTTCTCGTTGGCGTCGCCGTCGTGGTTTGCTAAAGCTCCCTAATATTTATGCCATACCGGACAGATACCAGTGGGACTTACGAAAGAAAAATAAAACGAGAATTTCCCATCAAACTTGGCCAGCCGAGAAGAGTGGTTCCTACCATTTTCTATTCCTTTCCCCGATCCCCCACATAAGTGAAATCTGCTGAAGAGAAGTAGGGCAACGAGCCGGTCGGAAAATTTTTGAGCTCCAGAGATGCTCTTGAATATTCCGGACGGACCGAACCGAAACGGATCTTTCCATTTGACTTTCGACCGAAATTTCCGGGATTTTTGGCATACTGTTAAAAGTACCTCTCTACACACAGACAAAATAAGAAATAAATCTCCCTAAAATTGAAATAAAGTAGTGCTTTCTGCTAACAACGCTCAAACTTGTGCTTGTGAAAGGGAGATTACTACAGTCGTAAAAAGCAATAAGAAACCCCTAAGGGTGTAAAGAGGTTCGAACCTACGAGAATTGTTCAGTGACTGTGTTATGAAACTGCTAGGAGTAAAGCTGGCCAAAAGCGTGTTCATACTCGCAAGATACTAAAACTAACTAGAAATATATTTATTTTTGTACTGTTAGTAAGTTGTTAAATATATCTCGTAATTGTTCAGCATGAGAAGAACTTAAGTTTTAGACCCCGAGTATGATGCTGGGATACGCACCAGACTTCCGACATCACTTTCAGAGCTCATCATCTGTATGGGCACCGTGACTGGTTCGAAACTCCGCAACACCATGGCGGATAACTCGGCAAATTTAAGAACTCTTGGCATTTCACACATCTTAATAGGGATCGTACTCGTCTGTTTAGGCATCGCTGATCGCTTTGAAAGCCTCTTTTGGACCGGTGATTTATATTTTGGAATATGGATTGGCATATGGGTGAGTTCTCCACACGTTTTTCGTGGGTTTGCAAGAATGTCAGACAGCAATTATTGCTTCAGTTAAACGGCTGTCGAGCCCGGAGATTTTTATCCCTTTTGGTCATTAATAGGGTATCGATTTTGGCCATTTTGGTCTCAAATAGGGTATGGTTTTTGCACTCTATAGCTAGGCTTGAACTTATTTGGTATGCTTTTTAGAAGAAGCTACTTTTTCATCATTATCGATAAGACCATCAACAAAAGCCCTTCACAATGCCTTTAAAATCGGTCTCACTCTGAATTAGGGGATTAATTATAAGACAGGTTTGAAACAGGGTATTGATTTAAGGGTCATATCTGATATATGGTGTCACATTTTCGGTTAGGTCGTAAATAGGATAGAGAAAATCACAGAATTTTGGTCTTGGATAGGGTAAGGGTTTTGGGAGGCAGGCCGCACACCCCCAGCTGATTTTTCTGTGATTAACCCCCCCTGCGGGGGGGCACCGAGCAGGATTTTCTGGGAAGTTCAATCACGATGAACACAAATAAGCCGTTACTACCTCTTTGAAACCATACTGTAGTTTCATTCCTCCAACACTGGAGCTTTTTAAAGCTATACATTGTCTATTGTTTGTTTCTTAAATGTAAAATGAGTAACAAGGAATATTGTCACAAACTGATAAAAATATTCTGTTTTCTCTTCTTCTGCAGACATGCATCTCAGGAACTCTGGGCATGTTCGCCAGTCTCAGAGAAACAACGTCTTCCCGAAAAGCGTTTGTAAGTTCCTGTTAGTTGAGAAGTTTTGAAGAAGCCTGGCCAAAGTAACTAACTTAAAATCTTAAGATTGAACGCAAAAAAAAACCAAAGCTTGCCTCTGCAAGTTATCCTTTGCATTCCAATATTTCTTTCGACCCTCTTGTACACACATCTATCATTCACTTAGTTAGGGTGAAAAGATCTCAGCAGGAAATTACTTTGCTATGCTTCCTTCATTTCTTTCGGCGTTTCACCTCGCAAAATTCTATTGTTCACGCCATATCTTGCAATTTGCTGCTCGGGTGAGAGAAAATAGGAAGTGAGTTATTACAACCAGGCTTGTTTTATACTCATAAATACGTATTGTTGAAATTTTCAGATGGGCGTCCTCTTATTTTTCTGTACCATATCAGTTTTGCTTGGATTGGCACTTGTCGCCATCTACGGCTTTTTCATTGTCATTCTCTGGAATATTGCCGCCTATATTCCCGTATACATAGCTATCGCCTCAATGTTCGCGACTCTTGGTATTCTTGAGACTGTTACAGGAATCTGGTCAGCGGTATGCTGTTGTCGCTCATGCTGCGCTCTGACTCGGTCAGAACCGGTGAGTCCTATTTTAGAAACTTTAGTTAATCCAAGTGCTCTACGCGCAAACCTGTGAATTTCCCGGTGAATTCCAAAAAGCACCTCTAATGTTTTAAAGGGACCCACGAAATTTTTTTCACGGAAAGTTCGACTGCAGTTTGAGTCATGACGAATTACTTTTTGGTCCTGCATTGTCCGCCTTGTTGGAGATAAAATTACATAATCTCCTCTTTATACTGTGTTCCCATCTTTGTAAATTCCAGGAACAACAATTTCTAAATCCTGCCACTGACGCTGAATCGGTCTCCACCGGTGAATTCATGACACAACGAACTGTTAGTGTTGCTATGGTAATTCCAGTACAAGGAGACGACAGTTGCGATGCCACACAGGAGTGGAGCGGTCTTCTTCCGGCGATCCCGGTACCTACCTTTGGAGCGACGGGGAATCACCCTCAGCCTGTTGGTGCTCCCATGTCAGTTCCGCTGCAAGCGGCAGGCGTCGTTGAGGTTGTTGTCCAAGCTTCTGAATCAGTGGCTCAAGGAGGTCGGCGTTAAATGATTAGCTGCCGCCATAGTAGTTCCAGTGTAAGCAGACGATGGAGTGGTTGCAGTTCAGGCGGACAAGTTTACTTCTGGAGTGGAGGGAGTTCAACGTTGGATTGCTCAAACTGATACTTCTCTAGCGATGGCTGCAGGCTACTCAGCATTGAAAGAAAATATGTTTCTTTTTTATAATAATTTATTTAATGAGAAGTACTATAAAATAATCATTAAAGCAGTCAGATAACACTGATGGCACGAGAAGCCTTAACGCATGTGCAATTTACATTTTTGGCTAAAGGGTGAAACTTAATTAAAGCTGAAGCATATTGTTGTATCAAGCTTGACTGAAATTTAGATTTCAAAAAATTGCATTGCCACGGACCAAATGTTTCTCTCAGGAAAACACTTACTTTGGTTTGAAATAGGGCACGGGTTCCGAGAAATGAACCTTATCCAACCCACTCTCCCCGCGGAGGAAACCGAAACATTTGGAATAGTGACTAGAATCAGAAAAAGTGTGATCATTTTGCCTCTACACTTAGCCAGGCAGGGAGATCATTGAAGACATGGTTTTCCGAGTACAAAGACACTGTCTTGATGTTCGACAAAAATCCATAGTCGCGAGTTATGTCTAAGAATGTGGCCATAAGATATGCTTCCCGTTTGACAACATAAAAGACATGACCATCAGGCCTCGATGTTTGTGAAAGATCAGAACGCTTGGAATCACCACATGGCCATCCTACGGAGAATTATTGGCTCGGCTAAGAGCTTGGTAGTCACGCAAAAAAAACACATTTTTGTGGTCAATTAAAGATTAAAGGAGCTAAGTCACGGTTTGTGCATTTAAATTTAGCCTAAATTGTCGTTTGCAATCCGTGTTAATCTTCTCTATCCTTGTTTCTTTATGATATTCTATTATCTCTTTGGTGTTTTTTTATCTTAGTAAACTACTATTGTCAGGTTCCCTTCAACTTAAAGGTAATTTGTACGTGGCAAAAATAACTCAAGCTATCGTGATTGAGCTCTTTTAAACTGACCCACGCAACGTTTTTAGTTTTTCTCATTCTAACGGGTAATATCTTACAACATCACGCGTAACAACAACATGAAGCATTTATTATATGAAAACTGATCATGAATCTTTATGTTCCACCTCCATATGCGAGTTTGTGGCAAACAATTACTGAAACAGTTTTTGAACTTTCAATAAATTTTCAATTGTATTTTTTCCTGGTATTTTTCTGTTTGAATTTGTAATTGCAGTTTTTTGGTAGATTTTAAGGACCACAATGAGAACTACTGGTTTTACCAGTAATTGTGTTGTCCAATACAGTCATTATTATTATTAACAGTCTTCTAAGTCTGTTTGATTGCCTCAATACTACAGTGGAAGCTGATACGCCAAAACGCAGAAATCACCGAAATGTCCTTCAACAGGCTCCAGGCCCAAAAGAAAACAAACTAGCTCAAGACAGACACAAGTTTAGTTAGGTTTATTTCGATTGTTTGCTAAATAGAGCATTTAGAGCACATTTCTCGCGCATTCATTGTCACTGACATTTCCAATGATCATTTCCAATGATCATTTCCAATGATCATTTCCAATGATCATTTCCAATGAACTGACGTCGTATGCCTCAAATAGGCCCGCCAGTCATACCCAGTAAAGCTTATTAGCTCCTTTCTAGAATTCCGGTTAATCATGCAGTGAATTCCGCGAACAAAACGTTTATCCTCAGAAATGATTTCCCCGAATAAGATTAGTCTCGTAATCACAACATCTCCATTGTTTAATAAATTCCGAGAAAAGAACTCGATCAGCCCTGTCAATGGATCGCAATCGGATACCCCCTAAGCGCCGCTGCTTTCAGATAAAACACAAGGTGTAAGTAGTTGTGATGAGCTCTGAAACAATATTCCTTGTCAATGATTGACTGTTGTATTTGCACCATTTTCCATTTCTATAGCTTTCTTGTTTCCCTTGTTTTTCTTTCCCTCTGCTCTAGAGTTTCCGGCCCCCCGTATTTACCGTGCAAACTTGCCACGACATGTTCGTATTTCTCGGAAACAGATATCTTTCCTCGGAATGCATAGTTGCCCAAGGTCTATCAAGGTCGAGATAATCATATGATCTTCAAAAGGAGCTGATTGGTTAGAATTCTGAACAGTAACCAACACCTCTGTTTTCTTTGCTGCCCTATAAATTACTACACCCAGTAATTGGTCCATCGTCAAACTGCGCCATAGCGTTTTACAAGCAGAGTTGGGGGAATGATTCAACCTTGCAAGATGAAAGCAGTTCTTGTATTTGCCTTCCTTGTTTCCATCCCCGTTGGTAAGTTACTTCCATTAAAATTAAACTTTGCCGAATTTGAGCACTTTTATCAAAAGAACGAATTAGCCAAGCCAGCCGAGTAACTAAGATCAAGAGCTTTCATTCTCGTTTTCGTAGATTGCTATAAGTCTGAACTTGTTCCTGGTTTTCATTATGCTTTATAGAAAACTTTTATGTGCTAGTGTGCCATCATCAACACGGAAAAAAATGTGTTTCCCTACCTTCAGCACTTCAAATGATTTTCGCTTCGCCATGACATTTTGTCCTTTACAGTTCCAAGGAAGAAATCATAGGATTTTTAAAGTTGACTTAACTCAAAATGATTGCAAATCATAATTAAGTTAACGTTTGATCATCTTGCGTGTAAATAGTGATGCTTTAGCCATGCATATTTCATTGTAAAACAAATGTTCTGCGTCGCTACTCAGGGATTGTTCGATGTGTATCTGGGACGCATGTTTCGTTTACCCTCGGATAAAGGAAACCAGCTGATGCAGAATTACCGGGAAAGAATATAACTTTCAGTTCATCATGCCCCTTTGATAAAGAAGAAAATTCATTGAGAACATTGAGCAGCTTGCCTGAATGTTACTTGAGTTGAAAACGAAAGAAAATACGAATCATGGCTTTTTATATGACCCTAGCCAGCGCCCAAACTCATTAGCAATTGACAGCCGCAAAACGATTGAACACAGTTACTTGGATCAGTTCGGTGACTCGAAATCTTCCGTTCTTGGCTTTAAGATGAAATGACATGTACTTAAGTTTATATTTCTTTAAAATGTTTTTCTATATCTTCTTTAATTCAGGCAATTAGCGATATTTATTCCAATCGTAGTTCAAGTCATCAAGTTTCTCTTCAGTATTAAACCTTTCTTCTGGGATCTAATTTAACTGTTATCTTCGCGCAGATTAAGTACGTGAGTCGGCTTTTATTCCTATGTCTTAATCTTTTGCTTATTTTTTCCAGGATATGGCCTCAAGTGCTTCGAGTGCGTTTCTACCAAGGATTGGGGTGGCTGTGCTAGTGTCAGAAAAGAGGTGACTTGCGATTCAAGTGCGGATCGCTGTGTTAAAGGTATGAAAGAGGGAACACAAGATGATGTCTCAGTCACGGTATACATTAAAGGTTGCGCTGAATCATCCGAATGCGATGCTGATACATCGGACTTTTGCAAGTCTGACACAGGAGAGGTGAAGAAGTGCGATATCAACTGCTGCAGTGGCGATTTGTGCAATGGAGGCAAAGTTCCAATGGTCAGCGCCATCATGCTCTTGGCATGCGCCCTTGTAGCTTTTCTTCGCTAATTTTGAGAAGCTATTCAACAGTTAGCAGTGCCACGAAAAAGTGTAGAAAATAACGTTGAGTTACCGATTCCACGTAGCTAGTGTTGCATTAGGCACATCGAGTTTTTTTAGTAGAAACTGTTCCAGTCATTGTAATTTCAAGCGATATTTTTTGCAGTAAATCAGTCTTGTCAGTCTGTATATCATTTATTCAGTTATTTTGTTCTCTAGTAAAACTATCTTTTATACCTTGGAATGAACATAAGTGACCTTTGATGAAGACTCAATCGTATCTAAAATAAAGGATTTTATTTCAAGCCCTGATTGAGTGTAAATTTGTGCTTCGCATTAAGGAAAATGGAATCTGCGTTAAAAGAGAACATCATTCTGTACTTTTAAAACCTTGCTGTTCGCCAAGAAGTCCATGAGAAAAAAAAGAAAGGGCCAGGGTATGCACAGTCAAGTAGGGCTTAAAACTGAACAAGAAGCCAAAGGACCCCAAAGCATCCTAAGCTCATCCTATCTATCTGGCTTCGTTCTGATTAATTCTCGAGGTCATAATCTCGCTACAGCAGACCAATGTGCTGCCGTCTTTTCTAATGTACAGGATGCCACTAACCTGGTTGATTTTATCAGTCAATATTGTGGAGACTAAGACTCAGAAGTACAGCCTGTATTTCGGAATTCGGAATTCGCCGAACAAGCTTTCAGCCGGCCCAGAAAATCACAAACATGAAAATAATAACACAGGCACAAGATAAGCTATTGGAGCCTCCATTTTTTGAAATGAACTAAAACATTTAGAAGATCCGAGTTCAGTCCGTTCATATCTGATATTACGTCTATTGCAGGCGCGACCGCCCGCTCCCTCACCCCCCCCCCCCCCCCCCCCCCCCCCCCCCCCCCCCCC